TATGTGTGTGTGTTGTGTGTGTGTGTGTGTGTGTGTGTGTGTGTGTTATATATATATATATATATATATATATATATATATATATATATATGTGTGTGTGTGTGTGTGTGTGTGTGTGTGTGTGTGTGTGTGAAGTTTTGCAATAAAGGTCAAAACAAAGATCATTCTGATGTCAAAGTCCACTTTAGCAATCACAAGCTGGGACACAGACATGGTCAGGAGATTAAACGATCCAACTAGAATTATTACTCATTTCTAAGTTAAAAAACCAATTTTCTTTTATACATACATATAATTAAATGAAGTAAATTCAGCATTATAATTAAAATATATAATTATTCATTAGAATAAATATCATCTAATCACCCCTTAAATTACTACAGCTTCCAATCAACCAATAAAACCATCCTTCCTCTGGTAGCACTCTTTGGAACTAAATACCTATACATGCCTGACATTACAGGTGACATGATTTTTTGCCTCTAAGGAGCCCCAATAAACAGGATTATTTTATCTCCTCTCCCAAACAATATCCCACTGAGGTAGCTCCTCTGGACAGTGGATAGTCATCCCACTACTATTTACTAATTCTTCTAAACTGTGATGAAAAGACAACTTCAAAAAGATAAACCTTCCTTTTCCTGTTAAAATACAGTTCTCAGAAGGTGAAGATTAGGAAGATTTAGGGAAGGATGATTCTACATGAAAAAAAATTAACAAAACTTAAATGGAATTCATTCCTTTCCTTCAATGGTCAGTACAAGTATGAGTATAATCAATTGTACTATGTCATCTGTAGAAGACAGCATATATGTTTGACAAGCAAGCACCAATTTAAACAGACTATTGGATAATGTGCCAAAAGGGGTGAACTCCCACCCCAATTCTTATAACTGGATATACAATTTATATCAAGGTGGATTACAAAAACAGTTTTCTCCTTGCTAGTTTTGAAGGTAATAACTTGAAATAAATAAAAAATGAAACACAGCACATGATAAAAACATTTATACAGGACCAAAAGGCCCCTACTAACAGACGAAGAAATAATCCTCTACAATGTCTGACTGAAAATTTGCAGATTAATAAGTCTACTTTCAACACACACTCATGCTATTTTACAAATCACTACTTTTTAAACCTTTTACCCCACAAAATGTAATTGTAACCCACATACATAAAAATGATATACCTTTATCATCAAGCTCAACAATACTCGAGTAAAATCTACCTGCATGCTGTGAATTCTGTAACATTCACTGTATAAACCTAATGTAGGAACTAGACAACTGGAAAGTGGAATTCAGGTAATCCCATCTTTTAAAATACTAGAATCCTCCTGAAATTTCTTTCAAAGCCATGACTGAGAGTGCTGAAAGGAGCTAAGCAAGGCCCGGGGATGCTGGAAGACACATTCCTGGATTTTTTTTTAATGAAATAGCATTGTTGCACTCATGTACCTTAAAGGCAATTTACCCCCCCCCCCCAATTGTCTTGCACGTAAAGCTTAGGCCAAATATTTTTTCAATTTTCTTATATATTCATTTGATTAACATTTTCATTCAATACCTTTTAAAAACAAAAAAAATTAATTTAATACGAGATAAATAAATACCAAAGCATACAATGCCAAACTGTATTTCAATCTCAAATTAGCAGTTAAATGTTTTAATCTTGAGTTCTTTGCCTGGTAAGTGGATAAATGCAAAGAAAAAACATGAACTGTTGACCTTGTCTGATATTCATACCTTCTTGGATAATCAGCCTTCTCATGATGTCATTTTAAAATGCCGCTCTTGATTATATACTTACATGGCTAGACCAAGAAAACTGCTAATGTCAGTCTCAGCTTTCACCCCAAGGTGGTCCGTCCTCACAGTTACACTCCTCAAACAGGAAAGGACCCTCAGGGACTTGTGAAAACTCTATGGCGAGCCTTCCCTATAAAATAATTTGGGTTTGTGAAAGATCTGATATAATACTCCCAAAACAAATTTATTTTTACCTTACTTTTCATAATACACATACACACACACAGATAATGTGTAAATGCCAGCCCAAAGACCTTTGTTTCCTAATTGTTCAACCACTTAAATGAGGCAACATTTCCAGAATTCACTTTTCTTTTCAATTTTCTCATTTTGCATTTTTTATTGCAACAAGAAACTTTTTCCAAATATCTTAGTTTTTTTTTTCCAGCATAGAAGGCACAGTCTTCTAGATTTTTTTTTTTTTTCCACTGGCAATTAAAATGGATATAATATAGTTTATGCATGACAAGCTTTTTTATGTCTTTGTTAATTAAAACTAAAATCTCGTAGCATGACCCTTTTAAAATCCTGTCAAAACTTACAATAAAAATTATTTAAAATTTTGTTGGAAGTTTATTGCTTGAGCTGTGAGACAATATTGAGTGCATTTTAGTTAAGTTCATATAAGAATATGCAATTCTATAAAAAAAGTTTGGTACACCAAGTTCGATTCAGTTCAATACTTAGTTTTCCCACACAAGATAATGTAGGTGTAATGATCATTATTTCTTAATAGGCCTAAAGTTACTCCAGTAAAATGATTTGTTATAGACTGCAGATCAATCTTTTCAAAAGTCATTACTGTTACACAGAAATAATCTTGGTCACAACAAAGTGCATACTTAAAACCCAGAACTTTATTTAAAGTTTAAAACATTTTTTCTACTAATATGAGATAAATCAAAAAATTCAACCAATACTAAATCATGATTTGTACCACCCTATTTTCTAAATATTCATCACATTACTGATGATAACCGAGTGACATGTTTTAATAATTGTTATAACAAAATGCACGGTACTATATACAAGGTGTTCAAAAAATACTGGCCCATATGAAAATGAGACTAGGAATAACTCATGCAAATTTAAGGGATGAATAAGTCTCATTTCCCTATTGAGCTAAACTACTGGGAACAACCGTTTGAATGAATTGCACTTCAATCCCTTAGATCATAAGAACTTACAAGTGACAGAAAGTCAAGGTATATAATATTCAACTCTCAAACCTTAAAAAATAAATGAAATTCGACAAATTGATATATATTATATACTGTTAATTTCACCTTTCTATAACTATTTTAATATATATCTTCATTCAGGTGTATTCAGATACATTTTGAAATTTCCATGCAGTTTCTGCAGTTGGTTAATAACACAAGTGTTAACCCAATGTCATAAGGTGGTTAATACCTTCTACACAGGTAAAGGTTGCATACTGCAGCTTGGTTTGGATTATCTACGCAGCCACGAAATTGAAGTATGCAACCTAATGACTTATGGGGTATTACACTAGAAGCTGGTTAGAAATGTAATTTTCACTTCAACTACAGCAGACAGTTAAACTAAAATCACAATATTAGTGACAAACACATTATTCATTACAAATGAAGATATTACCTTACTCGTTTACTTGTGTTCATTTTTAATTTTCTACCTGTGTTTGATTTATTCTTTGCTTAACAATTCCAAAATCTGCATTTTGGAAATATTTTAGACTTATTGTTGAACATCAGTGTACCTGAATAGCACAAAAAGCATTATTTACAAAATCCAAACCAAGTTCTAAGATTAACAACAATGCAATAATTATGCTTACTGACAAATCTGCATAGATTTCCTAAATGAATATCTCCTTAAGTTTAATATTTACATACACGTATCACATCAAAACATTTTGTTTAATCACTCAGTAAAACCAAGAAATCGTAAAGATAAATATTCATTTCAGAAATTAACAATAAAAGTTCTGTTTATAAATAATATGAATCTTAATAAATAAATTATGTTCAAATTTCTCTGATATTTACAATGGACATTTATGTGAACACCATTACAAAATGAACACATTAATAGAACAAGTCACTAGGGTACTTGTTAGAAAGTTATAATTTTTAAATGTTTTTTGATGTGTTTTTTAGCACTGCTGGTCAACAGACCATACTAGAAGAGTTACTTGTAGTGAAGCAATACTACTACTAAAAAACAACACCATTCTGCAGAAAACATTACTGGTTACAAGAATTTATAGCCATTTCACCTATACACATCTGTTTAAACATAAAAAAAAGACCTGTTCAGCAAAACTTCAAATAGAAAACAAGGAAAGTCATTCTTGTTGTGAAATAACCCATCACTATACATGGGTAGCTGCTTTCATCATTATTGTGAAATAACCCACTTGTATTCATCAGTGAATAAATTTTTAGTACTATTTACTACTTGTACTAACAGACAAAGTACAGAAAGGTACATGTGCTAACATACTGCACTTGCAAAAATTATTTTAAAAAATATATAAAATTCTCCTTGAAATGAAAAATTTTTAAATATCAAAAACAAAATTTTTTGTCATTATCCACAGTAACTTTTTCTAAACTTAATAACATTAATTCTTGAAAAGAATTTAATTCATTCTGCCTAGTCATAACAGTTCCTGGACTTTGTACAAACTATGGCTGTCCTCTCATTCTTTGTTCAATATCAATATAATAATTACTGGTACTGTGATAGTGGTAATCACAAAGTGCAAACATCACACCAAGTGTCATTAAGTTATGGTAACTAGTCTATTCTCAAGCTGTAGATCAACATGTATTAGCAGTAAGAGTACTAGTATGTAGTACTACTAAGATACATTTATACTATGCTTAGGTATAAAGATTTACAATTTACGGTCTTAAAGTTCAAGCAGTGGTTGAGGTAAACAACCAGCTTGGTTTGATTTTTGTAAAAATATGAAATGCAATAATAACTTTATGGAAATTGGGGTTTAATATTATAAGTATCCTGATACATACGTCTCAAGTTGTTACTCTTGTTTAATTAATTAAGTGCTAAAATAGTCTGGGCAGCAGCAAGCAAGCCTGTAACAAGTTGTGGCTTGTAATTTTGTATATGAATAGAGTTAGATCAGGACACTATTTATCTTTACTAGTTAATCTGAAATTAAAATTGCAATAGGATTACCTGACGAGAAGCTTCCCACCCGTTGATTCTAGCTCTGATTAATGACGGAATGGTGAATGATTAAGAAAGCACAGGGAAATAAAAACTACAACTGCAGTTACAAGTACGGATAATCTAACGTCCAAACTTCTCTTTCACTACTCAGTCTCAATTTCGTCTTCTGATTCCACGCTGTGAGTCTGCGTTGACGTACTCAACTTCCATGTACATGTATCCAGTACGCAATCGCATAGCCAAGCATGACGTCATTGAAACATTAAGACAAGTCAAAGTGTTTCATATGTTATCTGGGGAGTAAAGGTCGTTTCTTTTCTAACTTTATTGCCAAAATGTTTAAATCTCTCCAGATCCACTACAGATTCTGAAAATAAAAGTTTTGATTTATAGGAAAAACCTAAAGTTGAAAAAATATATTTTCTAAAACTTTCTATAATCCATATTAACTTAATTTATTATATTTATCACTATTTCGTTTAATTATAAAAACAACATTTTAACTAAACAGTTTTTCAGTTTATACTTATATCAGTTTTTAACAAAACACGGGTTTTGATGTTATTTTTTCTACCTAAAAATGATTTGTTTGTATGTTTTGAATTTCGCGCAAAGCTACACGAGGGCTATCTGAGCTAGCCATCCCTAATTTGACAGTGTAAGACTAGAGGGAAGGCAGCTAGTCATCACCACCCACCGCCAACTCTTGGGCTACTCTTTTACCAACGAATAGTGGGACTGCCCGTCACATTATAACGCCCCCACGGCTGAAAGGGCGAGCATGTTTGGAGGGACGAGGATTCGAACCTCAGATTGCGAGTCGAGCGCCCTAACCAACTGGCCATGCCGGGCTCCTAAAAAATGATAGTTATAGTATTTGAAATCAATTATTACAATGTAATTTAATGTACTCTTCCTGGACGATGAAAAGGGTGTGGACTTGGTGTATACATATTTTCAAAACTCTTGTGGTCAGGTTCCGCACAGTAGATAAGTTGATAAAATCACATCAGTAAAGGTTGAAAAAAAAAAGACAAGTTAATCGGATTGTAAGGTGGTTGGATGAGAGAAAGAAACGTGAGTTTTCTTTTGAAATGGGTTCAAGCTCGGTAAAAATAATGCAAAGTCCAGTTCACTTAATGATACAAAATGATTTATTTCTCCTAGCCTAACGTACAAGCTCTACAGGCTACGTAATTTTTGTTTTCTTGCAGCTCATTTGGATGCAGAGAGTCGCCCAAATAAACAATCCAACATCTCTTTCTCTTGCTGTACACGGTACTATGGTCCACTAATTGATCGTTATCCAACATCTCTTTCTCTTGCTGTGCACGGTACTATGGTCCACTATTTGATCGTTATCCAAAATCTCTTTCTCTTGCTGTGCATGGTACTATGGTCCACTAATTGATCGTTATCCAACATCTCTTTCTCTTGCTGTACACGGTACTATGATCCACTGTTTGATCATTAAGAATATTCTCTTGCGGGAAAGATAGGTTCTAAAAGTCAAGTTTCACCCTGTTACCCAAAATCTGTAGAGATTTGGAGATCTTACAGCTTCTCTGAGATTTTAGTAAAGTGACTTATCTTAAAGATTTAGTCAGCTTCTATTTAGTTCTAACTTTTTTTTTTAGCTTTTAATTAGATATTCTGTTTAACATTGCAGGGTTATTTTCATTTTAGTTTGATTTTCTTTTCTTTTTAGTTTTCAGGGAGGGCTCACACTGAACAGGTGAGAGAGAACCTATAAAGGTTTTTCTTTTTCAGATCTCTCTCTCTCTCTTGCCAATCCTTTGAACAATCCTAATTCACAAATAAAACAATAATATATTGAAGTTAAACATACGTAACTAGTAATAAATCACTATTTACAATTTAACAATTACAATCATAAATAGACTTTGTAATCACTACATCATCACTTAAATGTATTATACAAGGTATAATCACAATTCTGATAAACAAAGTGAATTATTCTTTATTATCATATTTACTGTTTGCCACTATGGAGTTTTTCTCTCCAAGTAAATGTCAAGCAGATCCACTAGTGGTTGTATCCTTGTTGATACTCTGGAAGTAGTTTTTGTAAAACTTCACGCTTTCCAGCAAGTTGACAAACATCTGAAACTAAGCAGTTGCCCATTCTCCTCTCGATGTTCTTCCAAAGATTATCACAACAGATGACTTTGGCATGGATCACCTAATACTCCAGATTCTTATCTGTTGTACTCCAGGTCAGCTGCCTTCATTACCCTGTGTGCCAGTTTTTGTTGTTACTTGAAGTCCAACCTCTGTCATATAGTGTATATGGATTTCCTGGTCATGTAATGTAAAGTTATTTGAAGCTAGTCTAACCCTCGTTTCCACATAAAGCCAATTTCCAATATACACGAATCCTTGGTGTCAATTATACACAAACATCATGTTGTGTAGAGAAGCTTCCAGCTTTTCTCTTCGTGGAACTTAATATCCATTTATTGTTTCTTCATTCCGTCTTTGGAGGCAATTTCTCATCTTCAAACATAAGGTCAGATTGAACAATTATAGCTCTAAAGCTAGTGTTGATCAACATACTATAAGGTTTACATCATTCAATCCAATGACTCGTGGACTGGTTTCTTTAAAATAACACATTCCTTATTTCTGTTAAGGCAGATAGTGTATTATCAGTTGAACTTCGCCCCTTAAGTCCAGCTAATTCCTGTTTTTCAATTTGTTGTAGCACTTTGTTTATCTTCTTGAGATTTGGGACTCACACTTAGAGTATTATCTCCTTGGTTTATTATCATCCATTTATTCCTCACAGTCTCAGCTGCAATAGCCATGTTTTCCATATTTATAACAGTTTCCTTTTTTCTGATATCTTTTTGAAGAAGTTTCACTTCCCTATAGGCTTTGTCTATTTTTTTTGACAATATGACCTTTAAGTCGCACTTGAAGCACTTATTGCTTTCAGTTTATTTATTCTGTCTTGTGTAACTATTTCTTTCGCGACTCTGTGAGTCATCAGTAAGTTTATAGCTCAGTTCTCCTCGGTGTAAAAATAGCGAATATCCCATTGTATAGCTTTGAGCTAAAGAAACACTAAACAAAAATTCCAGTAACTAGTTATAATTAATCCTTTCAGAAATAATTTATGTTTCCATACTACTCCATCTGATCATCTTGTAACTTGTGAATGGTGCCTTTAGTTTTTTGTTGTTGTTTTTTATCTGCAACTTTAAATGTTTCAAGTTCCATTACCAACTTCATTTAAAGAAGCACACTAACTTTGTTCTAGCCGTCCCTAATTTAGCTGTGTAAGCTAAAGAGTAATGTAAAGAGTACTGGAAGGCCTACAATGGAGGATAGCCCTAGTGTACCTGGATGATGTCATTGTGTTTGCAACAACGTTTGATGAGGAAATGTCCCGGCTAGAGGAAGTATTCAAGCGTTTGAAAGCAGCAAACCTCAAACTCCATCCCAAGAAGGCAGCTAGTCATCACCATCCATCGCCAACTCTTGGGCTACTCTTTTACCAACGAATAGTGGGATTGACCGTCACATTATAACGACCCCACGGCTGAAAGGGGCAAGCATGTTTGATGGGACGGAGATTCGAACCCACGATCCTCAGATTGTGAGTCAAGCGCCCTAACCACCTGGTCATGCCGGGACTAATGTTTAACTGAGGTAGACCAATAAGGTCCTGCAGTCATAAGTGTCACATCAAAAGTGATAAAAATGTAGACCAAATGTGTTCTCTTATTCCATAATTCGTGGTTCATGGTGCTTGAGGTTGTAATTCTTGAACAGATACACTCAGATATGTGGCTTGGTTGGTCTTTGGGTTGCCAGTTTAGGTTTCAAATGTTTCATCCTGGCACCAATGTTCTTTTACACTTCCCTTTTTACTTTGTTGATGTGGCTGTTTTAATCTTTCAAATTTCATCAATTTTATTACTGTAACCATTATGTACTTCATAGATGTTTTTTGTATTTCATAATTTTGTATTATAATATTTATGTATATCTCCTATACCTTCTTCTATTTTCTATTCAATCAAATTTATTTCCGTTTTTAATAATTATTCAAATCACGTGTCTCTTTCTTTTAACTCCTTTCAAACTTTTGTCTCTTATCTCATGGTCCTTTTTTACTTTTTATGCCTTTTTTTCCCTGTTCTTTTAATTATATTTTTCTTTCTTCGTGGTCTTTTTTTACTTTTTATGCCTTTTTTCCCTGTTCTTTTAATTATATTTTTCTTTCTTCTTTTAATTTTTTCTCCCTCTCCATTCTAATTTTACCTCTTTCCTATTGATCTCCTTTTAATTCTTTTTTCCATTGTTTTATCATCCCAACCAAATTTTTGATATCACTTCGAACACGTGTCATCATCTTGTCTAGATTCTACTTTATTTTTACCAAAATAATCCCACTTATGACATCAGTGTTATAAACAGTTTCTATTATTGGTAGGTTCTGTTTATTTATTCGATGAAAATAATGCAAATTCAATACACTTTAACGATAACAAAAGCGATTTCAACCATAGAATAAAAATTTATGGGTTATGTTCATTGATAGACCTAACATACAAATATAAGTAAACAGTCACTTACTTTGTTGAAACACAAGTTCAAAATTTACAGCACTGAACTGACTTACCACTCAACTAACCCAACAGGCTCTTGGCAATGAAGATGTTTATTAGGATGCTAGACAAGAACTTTTCTGAAGAAAAAAAAAGGTGCCTAGCCATTCTGATGGAAGAAGAAAGGTACAGTTATTGGATCAATGAAGTGCGTACACCATATAGACAAGGTACTTCCCGAGATTCAAAGTCACTCGAGAATATTTAGCTACTTGATGTCTTCCCATTAAATCAAACTTTCCAGTCTGAAGTGGACCACGAGTGTGCCATTGCTAGATGTGGATTGACACCAAGCAGATCTCTCCCTAACATTAAAAAGGAAAACGTGTATCACTTTCTTCATAGATTTCAGCAAGTCTAAGAAGCAGATGATGTAATGCCTTTTCCTGATCTGTATGTACCAGCACCAAGCAGAGTGGAATATCTTATAGCTGAGTTGGTGACAGTATTTCAACTTGGGGAAGAACCGAGCCACTCACCGGGCTAAATTAAAGGCTATTAATAGGGGTCTCTTGGAAAACTTGGGTGCCTTCACCTATGACCTGTGTTAGTTTCACACGTTAGAC